GTGATGATGATGATGATGATGATGATGATGATGATGATGATGATAATGATGATGATGGTGACTCTGATGATAAATGATGATGCTGATGATGATTATGATGGTGATTATGATGCTGCTAATGCTGATGCTGCTGATGATGGTGATGGTGATGCTGATGATGATGAAAAGATGCTGCTGCTGATGATGATGATGATGATGATGATGATGATGATGATGATGATGCTGATGCTGATGCTGATGCTGATGCTGATGCTGATGTCGACGACGACGATGATGATGAGGAGGAGGAGGAGGAGAAGGAGGAGGAGGAGGAGAAGGAGGAGGAGGAGGAGAAGGAGGAGGAGGAGGAGGAGGAGGGGGACTGGTGTGATGGATCGAGTTGAGAAGAGGGAGACTCGAGGAGGAGAAGGAGAGAAGGACGGATGAAGGAGGGGGAGGAGGAAGGATGAAGGAAACGCAACGAAAGAAGAACGGCATGGGGAAAAGGGGGAAAGAAAAAACGGACGGTGAGTAGGAGGGAATTGGGATGGGAAGGAGGAATAGGGAGGGAGGAGAGAGGACTGAGGAGGGTGGAGGGAGGAGGGAGGAGGGAGGGAGGAGGAGGAAGACAAGGATGAAGAGAAGGAGGAGGAGGAGGAGGAGGAGGAGGTCGAGCAGGATGAAGAGGACGAGAAGGAGGAGGAGGTCGAGGTTGAGGAGGACGAGGAGAAGGAAGGGGAGGCTGAGGATGAGAGAGGAGGAGCAGACTGATGATGGTGGTGGTGATGATGCTGATGATGATGATGACGATGCTGCTGATGATGGTGACGATGATGGTGATGATGGGTGATGGCGATGGCGATGATGATGAAGATTATGATGATTATGATGATGCTGATGATGATGCTGATGATGATAATGGTCATGGTGGTGGTGATGATAATGATGATGTTGAAATTGTTGTTGATGGTGATGATGATGATGGTGACGGTGACGATGACGATGACGATTTTGATGATGATGCTGCTGATGATGACGATGTCGATGCTGTTGTTGCTGATGGTGATGATGCTGATGTTCATGATGATGTTGATGATGATGATGATGATGACGATGGCGATGGCAATGATGATGGTGACGGTGATGATGACGATGGTTTTGATGATGATTCTGATGAGGCTGATGATGCTGATGATGATGGTTATGGTGGTGATGATGATGGTGATGATGGTAATGATGAGTATGAAAACGATGGTGATCCTGCTGATGATGAGGAGGAGGATGAGGATGAGGATGAGGGTGATGATGATGATGATGATGATGATGATGATGATGGTGATGATCATGATGGTGGTGGTGATGACAATGACGCTGTTGATGAGAATGACGCTGATGGTGACTATGATCATGATGGTGACGATGGTGATGAGGAGGAGGAGGAGGATGGTGGTGGTGGTGGGGATGATGATAATGATGATGATAAAGATGATGATGATAAAGATGATGATGATGATGATGATGCTGATGATGATGAGGAGGAGGAGGAGGAGGAGGATGAGGATGAGGATGAGGATGAGGATGAGGATGAGGATGAGGATGATGATGCTGCTGCTGCTGCTGATGATGATGAGGAGGAGGAGGAGGAGGAGGAGGAGGAGGAGGAGGAGGAGGACGACGAGTAGGAGAACGAGGAGGAGGAGGAGGAGGAAAGGAGCAGGAAGAAGCAAAGGAGGGGCTGCCTGCCGCCGCCCGTCCTCGCCCGCCGCGCCCGCCGCGCCCTGCTCGCGAGAGCCGCAGCCACCCGCGGCCGCTGAGCTCTTCTGGGCGCGGGGGCCGGCCCGGGCGCGCGCAGGCGGCGCGGCGGTGAGGCGGCCCGTCGCTGGGCGCAGCGGGCGGGGGAGCCGAGAGGAGGGGCGCTTCCCGAGGTCCTGGTCCGGCGGCGGGTCCTCCCCCGAGGTCTCGGGCGGCGCGCGCTGGGGGGGGCAGCGAGGGCTGTAGAAAAGGGGCCCTGCAGGGCCCCTAAAAGGGCCCCTCTATGGGCTCCAATGGGGCATCGAGGGCCAGGGAATAGCACACTTTTCTCCCCCCCGCTCCATTCATTGCCCCCCCCCATCAAGCGACGCCCACCAGGTCCTGGTCCCCCTCATCAATCTGCACCTTCTCCCATGTTCCCCCCTCCTCCTCCCCTCCCCCTTCCTCGTGCTGCTGCTCCACCTCCTCCGCGCTCCTCCGCAGGGACTGCCCCGGAGCGCACGAGGGCCCCTGGGGTCCCTCGAACGCTCCGTGGGCTCCCGAGAGATCCTGTGCAAGCAGTTGAAGGCCGTCCAAAGGGATTGCCCGTTCATTCGAGCTGCCGCCGAGTGGTCGTCTGACTGTCGAAGCGCCGACTCGGCATGGACCTCTGGTCCTCCCTGGGCCCCTTCCTCGTGCTGCCGCTGTTTCTCCAGCTCATCCCTTCCCTGCTCCTCCCCCACCTCCTCCTGTCCCTCCTTCCTCTCCTCTGGTGTCCTCCTCCAGACGGCCCGAGAGGACGTCAGGACACATTCGCCGTCCACCGGACACATCGCACCACCACATGCGCAGAGGGATGAGGTCTTATTTCTTTTTCCCAACCCTCCTATGGTTGGGTACTCGTTTTGAATAGAGCAGTGTGGTCGCCCCATCCTTCTCCTCCTCCCCCCTCCTCCCCTCCTCTCCTGTCTCCTGTGTTCCCCTTTCCTCTTCTCTCGTGCCGTCGGGCTGCGATCTGCGAAACTGTCGCCACTTTCGTGGGCTCCTGGGAGGCCCAGCGGAGGTACGTCCCACGCGGACCACCTCGAGACCTCGCGGCGCCCTGGGGGGCTGCGATCTGCGCAACTTTCGCCACTTTCGTGGGCTCCTGGGAGGCCCAGCGGAGGTACGTCCAACGCGGACCACCTCGAGACCTCGCGGCGCATTGGGGGGGCTGCGATCTGCGAAACTATCGCCACTTTCGCGGGCTCCTGGGAGGCCCAGCGGAGGTACGTCCCACGCGGACCACTTCGAGACCTCGCGGCGCCCTGGGGGGCTGCGATCTGCGCAACTGTCGCCACTTTCGTGGGCTCCTGGGAGGCCCAGCGGAGGTACGTCCAACGCGGACCACCACGAGACCTCGCGGCGTCTTGGGGGACTGCGATCTGCGAAATTGACCCCACTTGCATGGGCTCCTGGGAGGCCCAGCGGAGGTACGTCCCACGCGGACCACCTCGAGACCTCGCGGCGCCCTGGGGGGCTGCGATCTGCGAAACTGTCGCCGCTTTCGTGGGCTCCTGGGAGGCCCAGCGAGGTACGTCCAACGCGGACCACCTCGAGACCTCGCGGCGCCCTGGGGGGTGCGATCTGCGCACTGTCGGCCACTTTTGTGGGCTCCTGGGAGGCCCAGCGGAGGTACGTCCAACGCGGACCACCTCGAGACCCGCGGCGGCAGGGGCATTGGAGGGCTGCTCGATCTGCAAACCATCGCCACGTTCGTGGGCTCCTGGGAGGCCCAGCGGAGGTACGTCCAACGCGGACCACCTCGAGACCTCGCGGCGCCCTGGAGGGCTGCGATCTGCGCAACTTTCGCCACGTTCGTGGGCTCCTGGGAGGCCCAGCGGAGGTACGTCCAACGCGGACCACCTCGAGACCTCGCGGCGCCCTGGAGGGCTGCGATCTGCGCAACTTTCGCCACGTTCGTGGGCTCCTGGGAGGCCCAGCGGAGGTACGTCCAACGCGGACCACCTCGAGACCTCGCGGCGGCCTGGGGGGCTGCGATCTGCGCAATTGTCGCGGACTTGCGTTGGCTCCTGGGAGGCCAGCGGAGGCACGTCCCAGACGGACCATCTCGAGAACTCGCGGCGCCTTGGGGGGCTGCGATCTGCGCAACTGTCGCCGCTTTCGTGGGCTCCTGGGAGGCCCAGCGGAGGTACGTCCCACGCGGACCACTTCGAGACCTCGAGGCGACCTGGGAAGCTGCAACTGCGCAACTGTCGCGGACTTTCGTTGGCTCCTGGGAGGCCCAGCGGAGGTACGTCCCACGCGGACCACCTCGAGACCTCGCGGCGCCTTGGGAGGCTGCGATCTGCGCAACTGTCGCCGCTTTCGTGGGCTCCTGGGAGGCCCAGCGGAAGTAGCGGAAGTACGTCCCACGCTGACCACCTCGAGACCTCGCGGCGCATTGGGGGGGCAGCGATCTGCGAAACTGTCGCCACGTTCGTGGGCTCTTGGGAGGCCCAGCGGAAGTACGTCCCACGCGAACCATCTCGAGACCTCGCGGCGCCCTGGGGGGCTGCGATCTGCGAAACTGTCGCCGCTTTCGTGGGCTCCTGGGAGGCCCAGCGGAGGTACGTCAACGCGGACCACCTCGAGACCTCGCGGTGCCCTGGGGGGCTGCGATCTGCGCACCTGTCGCCGCTTTCGTGGGTTCCTGGGAGGCCCAGCGGAAGTGCGTCTCACGCGGAACACCTCGAGACCTCGCGGCGCCCTGGGGGGCTGCGATCTGCGCAACTGTCGCCACTTCTCGTGGGCTCCTGGGAGGCCCAGCGAAGTACGTCCCACGCGAACCACCTCGAGACTTCGCGGCGCCCTGGGGGGCTGCGATCTGCGCAACTGTCGCCGCTTTCGTGGGCTCCTGGGAGGCCCAGCAGAGGTGCGTCTTACGCGTTGCCGCTGCTCTTCCTGCTGCGCTCTTCTGAGTTCACTAATGGGTGCTCTTCTTCCGCACTGCGTTTTTTTTTGTTGTTCTTATTCTTCTTATTTGATTCTGACACCCTCCTCCGTGTAGCCATTTTGGCTCAAGATGGAAAAGAGATATCTTGTCCATCGGCATAATATATCATCATGGTAGCGTGAGCTGGCCACTCACTGTTGCCGACCCACCAGGGCCTTGGCGCGCCCGCGGGCGCCACGGCGAGCTGGCCAGAGGCTCGAGGTTGGAAAAGGGCGGCATCGGTCGCACCTGTCAACGCACCGAGCTCGGCAGTGTCCGAGCCACCGGCAGAGGCCGGGAGGAGTCAACCGGCAAGGACCGAGAAGAGCGGCCGCAAGCGCGGCAAGAGGAGCGAGGCAGCGGTCGAGAATAGACGCAAGCAGCTCCAGTTCAAGCACGGCTTGAAGGATACAGGCAATAAGCTTCACGACCTCGCGTACATCGAGGACCACCCCTCGGAGAATTCGTCGGGAGCCATCGAGGAGGCGAAGAAGGAGGTCCTAGATCAGATCATAGACCTCGAGCGTACGAGGCAGGAGATAGCTGAGAGCAAGGAGGAGCTCGCCAGGAGACACGCAGTCAAACATGGACGAGCAAGTTCGGCAGCAGTTCGACTTACTGAGGCAGGAGTTCGCCGCTCGAATGAGTCAGACCGTCGACGAGATGAGGAGGCTGGAGAACGAGAATCAACGGCTTCAGCAGCAAGTAGCAGGAGGCCTCGCGGCAATCCCGCAGGCGATCGAGCGCATGGGCGAGCAGATCAGAGGCGCGTCGAGCGCAGGAGGAGCCGCTCAAGGTCTCGTCGACACCAAGGGGATAGGCAAGCCCACGACGATGGGCGACGATCAGGAGAAGTTCGGAGCTTGGAATCGCAAGATGGAGAACTACGTGATAGGCGTGTACGGAGAGAGCTTTCGTCCTGTTCTTCGGTGGGCTGCAGAAGCCGAACGCCCCGTGACGATCGAAGGGGCACAGGAGGCGCACGGAGGAGTACAGAGCTGGAGACCAAGGTCCACCAGCTGTACGCGGCGCTGATCAGCACGACGGCAGACGGCAGCGAGAGCAACGACCTCGTGACGGGCGCCCCCGACGGGAACGGTTTAGAGGCCTGGCGGAAGCTTCACCGCAGGTGGGACCCGACGACAGGTCCGAGGAAGAGGCTGATCCTGAGGTCGATCATCTCGCCTCCGAAGTGCAACGCGGAAGAGCTGGGGTCCGCCTTAGAGAAGTGGATCCAGCAGATAGGCAAGTACGAACGCCGCCAAGGAGAAGACGGGCTGGCCGAGTTGCCGGAGGATATCAAGATGGCGGCCCTCGAGATGCTCGTGCCTCAGGACATCGAGAACCACCTCGTACTCAACAAGCATCGGCTCGTGACGTTCCAGGACAGCTTGAACGAGGTAATGACGATCGTAGAGGCTCGAACCGGCGTGAAGATCAAGGAGCCATCGATCCGTGCACGGGCGCATCATCCGGACGACATGGACGTCGGATCGTTCGGAGCCCCGAATGGAAAAGGCAAAGGCAAGGGCAAGGACGGCAAGAGCAAAGGGAAAAAAAAAAAAACAAAAAAAAAAAAAAAAAAAAAAAAAAAAAAAAAATAAAACAAAAAAAAAAAAAAAAAAAAAAAAAAAAAAAAAAAAAAAAAAAAAAAAAAAAAAAAAAAAAAAAAAAAACAAAAAAAAAAGAAAGAAAAATATAAAAAAAAAAAAAAAAAAAAAAACTTAAAAAAAAAAAAAAAAAAAAAAAAAAAAAAAAAAAAAAATAAAAAAAAAAAAAAAAAACAGGAAAAAAAAACTAAAATAAAATAAAAAAAAAAAAAAAAATAAAAAAAAAAAATAAAAAAAAAAAAAAAAAAAAAAAAAAAAAAAAAATAAAAAAAAAAAAAATAAATAAAAAATGAAAAAAAAAAAAAAAGGCAAGACTCAGGAGCCGAAGGGGAAGAGCAAATCGACGAGCGGATCATACTCAGGCTCCCGCACGTCCCCGACGGGTTCGGGCCGTGGTTCAGGACACACGGCACCTCGAAGCACCGGCGTGCGCTTCGACGGCTACTGTCGGAACTGCGAGAGATGGGGCCACAAGGCATCCGAATGCTGGAGGAAAGAGCAGGGATCGAGTACGAGGGCTGGAACTGGATCCGCAATGGGGGCAAGCGCTGGTGGTAAAGGGGGCAGCCGCGGTGGCAAGGCCGGCGGCAAGGCGGCAGGCAGCCTGGAGGAGGAGCCTGAAGCGGAGGTCGCCGCTCTGGACATGGGCAGCTTGGACTGCCTGGAGCTCGCCAGCGGCAACGGCCGCGGCGTAGCTGCGGTCGACCTCTCCCCCTTCGTGCAGGACGACTGGATGAAGTTCAACTGGGACAGCGGTGCAGCTGTCTCAGCATTCCCGCGGAGCTTCGCGCCGCCGACGGGAATGAAGGGCAACGGCAGCACGTATCGCACGGCCAGTGGTGAGCTCGTCCCGGACGAGGGCAGCTTGCAGCTCAAGGCGGAGGACGAGTACGGAGTGCTACGAGCACTCAAGGGACGCGTGACGAACGTGCACAAGCCGTTGATCTCGGTGGGGCAGGCAGCAGGAGCTGGACAGTGTTCATTCCTGGGTCGCAATGGCGGCTGGATATTCCACGAGGAGAGCCCAATCGGCAAGCGCGTGGTAGGCATGCTCGAGAAGGAGGCGAAGGCGGCGAAGCACCAGATGCTGCCGGTCTATCGCGAGCAGGGCGTCTACAATTTCTACCTCAAGAAGGGCCAACATGGCTCGGTTGCTCCTCTCGAGGAGGGACTTTCGGCGAAGTCGAAGTCCGAGCTGGTGGAGCTCCTCAGCGGCAAGTCGAAGGAGGAGCTGATGGAGATCCTCGAGAAGACAGTCCCCAGGAGGCAGCCCTCGGCGTAAGCCCACTGGAGGACTTAATACCACGGCCCCCGGCGGCATCGGCTGCGGGGGCGGCAGCGGCGGGGTCGGTGCCTTCCGACGTGAGACCGCCGGGTTTTCAGCCAGCGGCAGCTGCTGCGGCCGACGCTTTGCCAGCTGCTCCTGACGGACAGCAGGCCGACGAGGGCGAGGAGGAGGCTCGCCCGAGAGTGCTGAAGGCACCTCACGAGCCCTCTCAGAGGGAGATCGCCGAACACGAGGCGATGGGACACGCGACTTATCGCAGCTGGTGTCGCGTGTGTATTGCGGCAAAGGGCCAAGGCCAGCCGCATCTCCGCGCACCGGAGGACGACGAGACAGCGGTGCCGGTGGTCTCGTCCGACTACGCCTTCATGGGCCAGGACGACGCGGACACCATGCCGATGCTGGTCCTTAGGGATCGGCGCTCGAAGATGATGGCGGCGACATTCGTGGAGAAGAAGGGCGACGACGCCTACGCCATCAAGTTCTTCGCACGCTTCTTACGGATCCTGGGCTACAGGAAGATAGTCAACAAGTCCGACGGAGAGCCAGCGATCCTGCTGGTCAAGAGGCGTGCGGTGGAGGAGGTTCCTGGCCTCGAGGCCATTCCCCAGGAGTCGGCACCGGCCGACCATCAGGCCAATGGGGAGATCGAGGTCATGGTGCGCGAGATCAAGAAGCAGGTGCGAGCGCTCAAGATGGACCTGGAGTCCAAGCTGGGCGTCAAGGTGGAGGACAAGCACCCAGTGCTAGCGCACCTGCCGGAGCACGCCGCATCGGTGATCAACCGATACTGGCGCGGCCAGGACGGCAAGACCGCTCTTCAGCGGCTCACGGGACGGCAGTGGAGGAAGCCGGTCCCGCTCTTCGGTGAGCGCCTGATGGTGCGGTTCGCCGGGGAGCGCACGAGGAAGAACGCGCTGGAGGAGCAGTTGGTGGAGGCTCGCTACATCGGCCACCACCCGCGCGACGGCTCGATGATGGTCATCACGAGCGACGGTGTGAAGAAGGCGGTCGGCTTTCGCAGCCTGCCGCAGAGCGAGAAGAGGATCACGGCGGGCTGGGACAGCCTGAAGGGCCTGCCGTGGGACGTGGCTCCGCGTGCGGCCAGCGCGCCGCGGGCCATCGTCGGACCTGGAGAGGTCGGGCCGCCACCAATTGTGGTGGTGTCGCCGCAGCCGCAGGCGCCGAGGAGGATGTGCGTCCTCAAGGCGGACGTCGAGCGGCTGGGCGCAACGCCGGGATGCCCAGGGTGCGTCTCGATCGCCAAGCACGGCAAGGTGCTGGCTGGCCATGCGCACAACGCGGTGTGCAGCAAGAGACTCTTCGAAGCGCTGGACGCTGAGGAGGCAGGCCGGGAGAGGACCGGCCAGTACCGAGAGCGGAGGCAGGGCCAAGAGGCCAGAGTCCGACCGGCGGCAGCGGCCGCGGCAGGGACCCCTCCGCCGAAGACGGCTCGGAGGATCACCGAGCCGGTGGCAGCGGCGGCGTCGGCGCCGGCCGCGAGCCGATCGGCAGCAGCGCCAGTTGCAGCGGCGCGCATGCGAGAGAGCCATCCGGGAGCATCAGGCTCCGGCGTGGCGGCTCCTTCAGGAGGAGCGAGCTCCAGTTCGGGAGCAGTGAGAGCGGCAGAGGCCGCCGAGGATGTCGACATGACCGCGACCAGGTCGCGGCTGACGCGCTTGGCGGAGGTGGCCCCGGATGACGTGCCGGAGGCCCTCGAGCGCGGTGATCCACAGCCGGCAGACGTGCCGGTACCGGTGGACATGGAGGATCTCGCGGCGCAGCCGGCGCCAGCGGAAGGACCTCAGCTGCCGGCTGGAGTGGCAGTCGTGTGGAACGCCAGTGAGGGGAGACACATGCGGGTGCTCGCTCTCGACGTGGCGTCGATCGAGCTGGTCGAGCTCGGAGTGCTGACGAGGGCGAAGGCGGAGTTGCTCCCGCTCGTTCGCGAACAGGTCAGCGGCCATTGGGCCAGTGTCGGCGTGGACATCGCCGACGAAGAGGTGGACAGCATCGCCTTGTCGGCGTTGCAGCTGGGCGCCGTGGACGTGGCAGAGGTGTACTCGCCACATCGGTTCTCTGCTCGGGCGGCGGAGTTTCAGCTGCGCCCGGGCTTCGCGGCGGACCTGGAGGAACTCAAGGAGGACGGGACGCCATGGGACTTGCGGCGACCCGAGGATGTCAAGGAGCTCGAGGAGCAGCAGGAGCGGATGGATCCCATCCTGCTCACGGGGTCCCCTCCATGCGAGAAGTTCAGCTTGCTGAGGGGCCTGAGCGCCAAGTTCAGGACCGATGAGCAGGAGGCGGCTGAAATGGAGGAGGCCAGACACCACCTGAAGGTGGCAGTCGACGCCTACTGGCGTCAGCTCAGGAAGCCAGGCAGGTACTTCCTGCATGAGCATCCCTGGAGCGCGCGATCGTGGAAAGAGGACATCGTCAAGGAGCTGGTCGCGCATCCAGGAGTCTTCACGGTCAAAGGCCCCATGTGTCGGTGGGGCATGAAGCTCACGAACCCACGCAGTGGCCAGGAGGAGTTCGTGCGCAAGGAGACCGGATGGGTCACCAACCACCCAGGCTTAGCCCGGAGGCTGCGGGGCACTTGCAGCAATGTGGACGGCCGCGCGGAGTGGCATCGACACATCACGCTCGTGGGCGGCATCGCGCGGTTCGCGAAGGTCTATCCACCGAAGTTGGTGGAGGCGGTGCTGGAGGAGCTCAAGGACACGCTGAATGACGTGGGGGAGCTCAGCACCGCCCAGGTGCAGCAGTCGGGCCCAGTCCCTGTGGACGCGGCGGTGCCGCCCGGGGACTGGACGAGCTACTGGGACGACGTCAATGGCGGCTACCTGGAGGCGGGCCTTGTGGCCCAGGCTCGCACGGTCGAGCGCGAGTGGGTCAAGAAGCAGGAGCTGATCGAGATCGTCCCGAGGTCTCAGGCTTTTGCCGAGACTGGGCGTCCGCCCATCCCACTCAAGTGGGTCGACACGAACAAGGGCGACGCGGAGAGGCCCAACTACAGGAGCAGGCTCGTCGTGAAGGAGATCAAGGCGAAGAAGCGCCCTGACGAGCAGCTGGAGGTGTCCGAGGTCTTCTCGGCAATGCCTCCTCTGGAGGCCACGCGGTCGCTGGTCTCGCTGATGGTCACGTGGACGCGGGAAGCGCCGCTCCACATTCAGGAGTCGCTTCGCAAGAAGGGCAGGAAGCCGGGCAATTTCAAGATCGGCTTCTTCGACATCAGCAGGGCGCACTTCTACGGGAAGGCGCAGCGGAGGATCTTCGTGGAGCTGGAGGAGGAGAGTCGCAAGGAGTACGGCGAAGACAAGTGTGGCTTACTCCTCAAGTCCTGGTACGGCACGCAGGACGCCAGCAAGATCTGGCAGGGCGACTACACGGAGCTGCTGGAGGAAACGGCTACAAGGCGGGCGTGTCGTGCCCAGCGGTCTTCTACAAGGAGGTGGACGAGACGAGGCTGCTGGGGCACGGCGACGACTTCGCGGTGCTGGCTCAGCAGCAGGACATCGACAGCTTCGTGGCCACG